TCTATTCTATTCTATTCTATTCTATTCTATTCTATTCTATTCTATTCTATTCTATTCCACTCCACTCCACTCCACTCCACTCCACTCCACTCCACTCCATATTCTATTCTATTCTATTCTATTCTATTCTATTCTATTCTATTCTATTCTATTCTATTCTATTCTATTCTATTCTATTCCATTCCATTCCATTCCATTCCATTCCACTCCACTCCACTCCACTCCACTCTACGCTCTATTCTACGGGTATTCCTTGGGTTACGAGCATTCCCTTAGCGAACATTCGAAGTCACGAGACCAGCACCTCCTAGCATTTCCAAACAAGGCCCGAAACTACGAATCTTGCAGTATCACTGCAGTTGTTCGCCCTTACAAACAACCACAGAGGCTCTGCAACATTCATCCAGCACATTGCTGGCCAAAGCTTTTGAGGGGCAGGTCTGCCCATCCAAATGTCCATTTCAGCTAGCAATGTGCCGGATGAATGTTGCAGACCCTCTGTGGTTGTTCGTAAGCGCGAACAACTTCCGTGGTGCCGCAAGATTTGTAGTTTCAGGCCTTGTTTGGAAATGCTAGGGCAGGGGTCGCCAATTTTTTGGACCTCAGGGACCACCAAACTCATAATTTTAAATCCTGGGGACCACTAACCAGTTCTGTGGGTGTGACTTGGTGGTCATGTGACCGACTGGGCATGGCTTGTATGTAAATATTATAAATATTTATATAAATATTGAATTTTTTTTTATAAAAAAAGAGCAACTTTTACCCAAAATCAGGCAAAGTAGGCAGGCAGATTGAGTTGCTCACAGAATCACAGATTCACTTAGAGATCTGTCTTTCTGCAATTGGCTACCTGAGTCTGCACTGCTTCAGTCCTAAGAAAGGTTCGGCTCTGCTTAATAGAGCCGAAGATCTAAAGATTAGCTAGAAAGCAAGAAATCCAATGATTTCCTGGCAGAGCAGAACAGCTGATGGTCAGAAAAAGGAAAAATAGCAACTTAGCAGGCAGGTTTGCCAGGTAAGGAGTGAGTGGGCGGAGAGGGTTCCCACAGGCCATGTGGGTGGTGCTCAGCCTGGATTAATTGCTTTGGGGGGGCGTGCTCTGGGGGTGACGTTTCTCTGCGGCCCACCAAAACTTTCTCATGGACCACCAGTGGGCGGTGGACCACCAGTTGGCAACCGCTGTGCTAGGGGGCACTGATCGTGTCACTTCGCTAAGGGAATGCTCGTAACCCAGGGATTACCTGTCCTGCAATATAACCTTTACACTTATAAAGCTTAAAGTCAGGGGCGCCCACAGGTATGATCAGAAAAGTCAAAACGGGGTCTACAATGATGAATTTGAAGCTCCACCCACTTTTTAAATGCTTATTGCACATAAAACACAGTGTCAAGCCTGAAATTGACATATGTGTAGCCATTTTATTCAGCCTTTTTATATATTCCTTTTCTTTCTTTCTCTTTGCTGGTATTGGGGGGGGGGAAAGGTTTTGGGCTTGCCACATTCCTAAAGTGGGAGGAGTGGAAATAGAGAGAGTTGTTTAGGCTAGGTGGTTCTTCTTCCCGTGGGAACGAAAACTGACCTTGCTGAGACCTGGAGGTGGAGTTTGATGACACCAGGCAACGTTGAGTTACTTCTATTGGGGGAATGTGACTTTTAGAGGTTGTTTCTCACTTCCAATATTATGTGGTGTAATTCTGGATTGTGTCAGATCTGGAATTACAACAGACTTTGCCAATTTGATGCTATTCTAAAGAAAATGAATTATTACGGAAGATGGAACTTTGCTGTTTTCTTTTTGAATGGATTTCATCACTTGACACAACCCGACATTATTCTGGATCTCTAAAAACCATAATCCCGGACAAGGGATGTGATTCAGGGTCCTGAGCCCTGGCTGTTTACTTGGAGCATTGGGTCACAGCAAAGACTCAGGAAAGGTGACACACAGCTTTGAACCCACTGTTTTGGCCACCATCTCTTCTTTTGGGACTAAAACCTGCTTAGAGTAGAGAATCACATAAAACACGCTGGCGTCCATGTTAGAAATGTTCTACAGGCAATCCTCGACTTACAACCGTCCATTTAGTGACCATTCAAAGTTACAACGGCACTGGAAAAAAGTGACTTCTGACTGTTTTTCACGCTTACAAGTGTTTCAGCATCTCCATGGCCACGTGACCAAAATTCGGATGCCTGGAAACTGGCAGGTGTTTATGACAGTTGCATTTGCCCCAGGGTCATGTTATATGTGATCCCCATTTGCAACCTTATGACAAGCAAAGTCAACGGGGAAGCCCGTTTCACTTAACAACCACGTGGCTATCTTCATGACTGCAGGGATTCACTTAAGCCCCGTGGCAACAACAGTCGTAAAACGGGGCCAAACTGGTTTAACAACTCCATCTTGTTTAGCCGCAGAAATGTTGGGCTCAGTCATGGCCATTAAGTCAAGGACAACCTGTGATTCCTGCCAATAAAGTCTCTTCCCTTTGCTGCCTTCTGCGCAGGAAAAATGCTGTTAATATATGGCCTTGCAAAGCTCAGTCAGTTAAATTGTAATTCGAGAAGTCTGACAGGCTAAAAATAAACTATACTTAATGTAGAAAAACACTTGGTCGCACACAGAAAGGTCAGGGGAATTAATGCAATTTGCACACTCTGGTGCACACACACACACACACACACACACACCATAACATCCTCCAGCCCATGAAGGAGCGGACCGAGAAAATTTGAGAATCCTGTGGCATTTAGGGATCAGCTGAAATATTAACAGGGTAAACCACAAAACTAGGGTCAGGTGAATAATCACTTTATGGTTTCTATCAAGTTCCTGTTTGTGTATGTGTGTGTGTGTGTGTGTGTGTGTGTGTGTGAATTTGCCAGATTTAATTCATCAGATTTGAGATGATTTGCTCATTGTGGTTACATTTCCCCCAAAACATAAGTATTTTTGTTGGGCATGTTTTTGTTTTGTCCAGAAACGTCTATGAATTTTCCCTAAATTACAGGTAGTTCTCAACTTACAACAGTTTGTTTAGTGAGCGTTCAAAGTAACAGCGGCATTGGAAAAAGTAACTTGTGACTGTTTTTCACATGACCATTACAGCATCTCTGTGGTCACGGAATCAAAATTCTGATGCTGAGTCATATTTATGACGGTTGCCGTGTCTTCCAGGGTCCCCCTTTTGTGACCTTCAGAGAAACAAAGCCAACGGGGGACCCAGATTCACTTACTAACTGAACAACTGCAGTAATTCACTTAACAGTGGTGGCAAGAAAGGTTGTAAAAGGGGGAAGAACTCGCTTAACAACTGTCTTGCTTGGCAGTGGAAGTTTTGGCTTCCATTATGGTCATAAGTCGAGGACTCCCTTGTATTGGAAGTTTTCTCCTATTGATGTGCACCAGTGGTGGGATTCAAAAATTTTTTACTACTGGTTCTGTGGGCATGGCTTGGTGGGCGTGGCCATGTGACTGGGTGGGCGTGGGTGTTTTTGTTTTTGCAGCCACCCACCCACCCAATTTTCCTTCTGGGCCTCAGGCAAGCTTCCTGGGGGGGTGTTTTTGCTCCCAGGAAGCTCCCCTGGGGCTCAGGAAGGCAAAAAATGTACAGGAAGTGGGGCTGTGCCCGTCCCTCCATTTTTTGCCTTCCTGGACCTTAGGGAATCCTCCTGGGCGAAGCAGTGAGACAAGAGAGGTGAATCCTGGCACATCTGATCATATGAACAGCTGATCGTCAGGAGGGGAAAAAAAAGAAATACCTTAAGGGTAGAGCATCAGCCAGGTGAAGTGAGTGATCATTGGGTGGGTGGGGAAAGTGAGCCAGTGGCGACCAATGGCCAACCAGAACTTACTATCGGTTAGGCCAGTGGCCCCTAACCTTTTGTGCTGCGGCCCAGTACCGGCATCACAAAATGATCCGCGGCCCGGTACCGGCATCAGCACGCATGGCAAGGTGAGCCGAGCGACCGGCCAGCCAGCCATCCCCCGCTTCTCCCCGCCACTTTCAACTCCTCCTTTGTACCTTTGTCGATGGGCTTCGCTTCAGGACGGCTTCGGGACGGTCGCTCGGCTCACCTTACCTTGGGTGCTGAAAGAATCCTCGCGCCTTAGTTTCGTTCGAAGCCCCCCCCCCCTTCGATGAAACTAAGGCGCGAGGATTCCTTCAGGACCCAAACGCCGCTTTCCAACCGGAAAAGCTCACCCAGAAGCACTTTCTCGTCAAACAAGATGGCGGCGCCCAGCAAACCGGCGGTCCGGTAGGAAATGTTCCACGGACCGGTACCGGTCCATGGCCCGGTGGTTGGGGACCCCTGGGTTAGGCGACCCACACCAAATCGTTGCTACCGCTTTGCCTGAACCGGTGCAAATCGGCTGAATACCACCCACTGATGTGCACCTGAAAAGGTTTGGAAAAACTGAGAAAAAAATGAGAGTGGAGAAACTGAGGCAGAGAAAGAGAGAGGGATGTTAACAGGGGGAGCTTCAAAAAAATAACCTTGTTGCTTGCATCCTTACGATTTATACGGACTATTTCCTAGTATGATTTGATTGCTTATTGTACCCTATGATTATCATTAAGTGTTGCACCTTAGGATTCTTAATGAATGTATTCTTTTCTTCTTATGTACATTGAGAGCATTTGCACCAAGACACAATTCCTTGTGTGTCCAATCACACAATTGGCCAATAAAGAATTCTATTCTATTCTATTTAGCAACTAGTTCTCTGCCCGGTTGCTGGGTGGGCGTGGCCATGGTGGCCATGGCCTAGTCAGCTTCCTGCAGCACCCTGGCCTGGGAGTGAAAATGGGCTGCAGGGTGTCATTTTCACCCTCCCCGGGCTCCGGAGGCTTTCCTCGAGCCTCCAGGGGGGCGAAAATGGCCTTCCCAGGCTCCGGAGGTTCTTTTCCGGAACTTCCGAGAGGCCCATTTTTCCCTGAACCTCCATACGTACCGGCAATCCGAAATGGATGGCATGGGGATTCCTGGGAGTGGAGGGGCAGGGTGAACAGGGCCAGCCAGGGGTGGGATTTGCCGGTTTGCCAAACGGGCTGTAAAATTAGCTACCTGTTCACCCAAACCGATGTGAACCGGGAGCAGCCCACCTCTTGGATGTTAGGCACGTCAAGGTCCATTTGTTGGGGGGGGGGCGTGTTGTGATGTTCCCTATGTTTTGATGGCATTGTGAGTATAACAGAAAGGAATGATTGTCAATCCTAGAGAAAGGCCCCGTGTTTGTCCAGAAGAAGCCAACAATGTATCCTCCTTGGAACAGCACGTTCGATGCCCACATCCACAGGGGCCGTGTCATGTACATTGTGGTGAAGGACAAGAGTGCAGAGATGGTTTCGGAGACCACCGTGGAGCTCAACCTCGTTGCTGAAAAGTGCAAGAAAAATAACGGGAAAATTGAAATCTGGGTAAGTGTCAACTCCTTGGGCCAGCGTTAACTTTTAAAAGCTTTCGTGTTTTGGGCTTCAGTCATCCTCCCTCTTTTCCTTCTTTCAATCCTTCCCTGCTTCTTTTTCTTCTTTCATTTAATTTCTTACTTACCATTCCCCCCACCCACCCCCGTTCTTTCTTTCTTTCTCTTCCTTTCTTTCCTCTTCTTCCCCCTCCTTCCCTCCCTCCTTCTTTCATTTGATTTCTTTCCTTCTATTGTTCCCCCTGGTCCTTCCTTCCTTCCTTCCTTCCTTCCTTCCTTCCCTCTCTCCTCTACTCCTTAATTCTTCCCTCACTCTCTTTTCTTTCTCTTTCTTTTTCTTCCTCCTTCCTCCCTTCCTCTTTCTTTCTCTCTGTCTTCTTTCTTTCCCTCCCATTCTTTGTCTATTTGTAAAACTCCACTTCCGTAGCAAAGCCTGGACTGGCTGCATTATTTAAAAAAAGAAATCTCTGGTTGCATTCCCATTTCCTTTCTAAATTCTATTTCACTGTCTTCTTTTTACAGCTGGAATTAAAACCCCAAGGAAGGATGTTAATGAATGCAAGATACTTTTTGGAAAGTACTGGCAAGTATCAATTCCGCTCATGTTTTTTTCAGGGTTTTTTTTAGCATTTCACTCCATCCCTGGCCAAAAGTTTAATTCTGACTCCAACACTTTGAAAATACAGAACTTTAAAGCAAGAATATTTTTAAATTTTTTAAAAAAATTGACCAGAGCTGCAGAAAAAAAGGAAAATGATGGTTTTAAGTGCTCTAAAATACCTTTGCTAGAATTAACATGTGAGCTATTTTCTCTGTTTTCTTTTTCCCACACAAGAATGTCTTTTACCCAAAGGGCTAATTCCAAACCATGTGCTTATTTTTCAGCACCCCATTTTATTTCCAAATATAGCTTATCCTTGACTTAACGACCACAACGGAGCCCAAAATTCCCATGGCTAAGCAAGATTGTTGTTAAGTGAGTTTTGCCCCATTTACAACTTTCTTGCCACCGTCATTAAGGGAATCACTGCAATTATTGGAGCTAGTCAAACAGTTGTTAAGTGAATCTGGCTTCTCCGTTGACTTTGCTTGTCAGAAGGTTGCAAAAGGGGATCACAGGACCCCATCATAAATACAAACCGGTAGCCCAGCATCCAAATTTTGATCACGTGACTACGGGGGATGCTGCAGTGGTCTTAAGTGTGAAAAATGGTCATGTCACTTTTTTCAGTGCTGTTTTAATTTCAATCACTAAATGAACTCTTGTACATCAAAGATTACCTGTATTTATTCATTTGAGTTCTTCCTCCATATTTGCTGTGAATTTCCTGCCTCAAAATGGACAGTTGTATCCCATCACCTAGCTCCAGTCTACAACACGTCCTTTCAGCAGTTCTAAAAAGGCTCCACACCCATTTGCACCGCTCAGGTGATCCCGAGGACACAGACAAACCTCCAAGTGGCCTCAACGACCCTCTAAAAGGATGCAAATGACCAGCTGTCTTCAAGGAGTATAAATCCTTCCATTCCCCACCATCCAGTCAGAGCTGAAGAAGCTTCTTGGATGAGAAGCACAACATCTTCAAAGAAAAACAAAGTCCATTTACCTCTTGAAAAACACCTTGAATCCAAATTGCTGGAAATGTAAAAAGAAACACGGAACATTCTTTCACATGTGGTGGTCCTGCATTGAAGCCCAAAGATACTGGCACAGAATAAAAAAATGGTTAGAGGAAATAACAGCGGAGCAAATTGAATTAAAACCAGAATTCTTCTTATTGGGGATATTTAATAGACAAATTTCTAAAAAAGTCAAATATATAATACTGCACATTCTTACTGCAGCTAGAATAACCTTTGCACAGTGTTGGAAACAAGCAGATATTCCAACAGAGGAAATGGTCATTCAGAAGATAACAGCCTGTGCAGAGATGGATAAGTTAACCTTAGCACTTGAGGAAAAAGAAACATCAGAATATTATAGAAGCTGGGAATGCTGGTATGACTGGATAGAACAAAAATAGAAAATATATTAGTAAACAACGTAAAATGTAAAAGAGGTAGTAATTATATATTCGCAATAAGATGCATTTGTAAATATATCACCAATATTGATAACAAACAAGGAACCATAGACTGTCGATAATAGAATTGCTAGTTTTTAATCATTTTCTTTTTTCCTTTTTTTCTGTGTATTGTGTATGTGTTTGATATTTTAGTTGTATAATCAATAAAGTTTGTTTTAAAAAAATAAGAAAGCACCTTTGGGACAGTCATGAGCTGGATGACTGAGAATCTCCATAGAGTTAGACTCAGGTGACAGTGAGGACACAGATAAACCTCCAAGCAGCCTCAACGGCTCTCTAAAAAGAATGCAAATGACCATTTCTGTCTGCAAGGAGTATCAATCCTTCCATTCCCCACCATCCTGTCGGAGCTGCAGAAGCTTCTTGGATGAGAAGGGAAATGTCTTCAAAGAAAAACCAGAAAGTCCAGTTGCCTCTTGGGGGGGGGGGGAAGGCACCTTTGGGACAACCATAACCTGGATGATTTGAGACTCTCCATAGATGCTAAAATAGGATGTAGGAGTTCGTGGGAATGCAGCAACGTTCACAACATGAACTGTACAATTGCATTAAGCCATAGAGGGAGAGGCAGCGTGTGGTCAAAATGTCGAGATGATAACAGTGATTGACTTAGCAACCGTAGCAAGAAAGTAAACTGGGACAAAATTCACCTGTCTTGCTAAGCAATAGAAATTTGGAGGACTACCTGCAGAGTTTAGGATTGAAGCATATTATCTAGAAAACAGCGTCTTCCTAGCTCATCATTCTGTGCCAAACAGCCAACAAGAAAACAGAAAGAAACCATCCTTTAGTGCTTCCCAAATCTTGTCAGCTTTAAGATGGCTGGACTTCAAATCCCAGAATTCCCCAGCCAGCAAGCTGCCAAGATTTGGGAAACACTGCCCTAGTTTATATCTCAGTTTGAGAACTGCTGACTTTAGCAATAGAAATAGAATAGAAATAGAATAACAGAGTTGGAAAGGACCTTGGAGGTCTTCTAGTCCAACCCCCTGCTTAGGCAGGAAACCCTATACCACTTCAGACAAATGGCTGTCCAATCTCTTTTTAAAAACTACCAGTGTTGGAGCATTCACAATCTCTGGAGGCAAGTTGTTCCACTGGCTAACTGTCAGGAAATTTCTCCTTAGGGTCTAAGTTGCAATGCCCATCAGCCTCAGCAAATCAATTCGGGATGATGGGAATTGTTATCTGGCAACATCCAGAAGATAGTTGCCTTTTATTTTATTTTCTGCTTCATGAAATCAGTATTTTAGATTATGGAGATTGCATTTAATGCGCCCTACATGAAGATATTTGGCTCACAAAGCCCCAATCTAAACAAACTCCCTTCTTCTCAACATGCTAGATTTTTCGCAAGCGGGAATTTTTATTTATGGGGGGAGAACCAAGAAAAGTATAATCTCTCCCCCATCAGTCACATTTCTGGTGATGTCCAGAAATAACATAAGCAGCGCTAACGTTCTTCTGATGGTAACAGGGGCTCTCAAGATTTTAGGAAGTGTGCCTGGTTATTTTTATCAATTTGGGGTGTTTCTTCACACTTTTTCGAACTGTTTTAAATATATGTTATTTACATTCATGGCCTGACCACGGAATTTCTTGTTTTTCTCTCTTACTCAGATGATCCAGAGTTTATCGACTGTGAAAAGGAGGGTTTTTTCTCTCTGCATCAACGGAGAGGAGCCATCAAGCAAGCGAAGATTCATAATGTCAAGTGCCACGAGTTTACAGCCACTTTCTTTCCCCAGCCCACGTTCTGTTCTGTTTGCCACGAATTTGTCTGGTATGACCGAGGGGGTCCTTTTGGGCTTGGTCTGTATAGGGAAGGATGCAATTTTCTTTCCTAATGGGAACATGCTGTCTCTGGAGGGCTGCTATGGTCCATTGGTCCAACAGCTGTTATGATCCATTGGTCGAAAGAGATGCTATGATCCATTGGTCGAAAGAGATGCTATGATCCATAGGTCCAAAGAGCTGCTATGATTTATTGATCAAAAGAGCTGTTATGATCCATAGGTCCAAAGAGATGCTATGATCCATTGGACAAAAAAAGCTGTTATGATCCATGGGTCAAAAGAGCTGCTATGATCATCATCATCTCCATTTAATGACCCCATAATCCCTTGTGGGGTGGTGCCTGGGCAACTGAATGGAGCTGAGTGTTTACTGGCCAGATGCCCTTCCCGTTGCCAATGCAGAGTTTTGTTATATCTGCTGGATATATCCTCATTGTGCCCAGAGAGAGAACTACCTGCCTCTACCTAGGATCGAACTCACAGCCTCCTGATTGTGAGGCGAGAGCTCCACCTCTAGGTCACCACCCCCAAAAGAGCTGCTATGATCCATGGGTTAAAAGAGCTGTTATGATCCATTGGTCTGAAGAGATACTATGATCCATGGCTCCAAAGAGCTGTTTTGGTCATTTTTTTTCAAAAGAGCTGCTTTGATTCATTAACCCTAACCATACAGCCAGAGATATTTAATTTCATTTGGACTGAGTTGAAGCATTGTCATCCCCACCCAGACCCAAAGATGAGACCCCCCAAATCATTTTATTTTTTATTTATTTATTTTCTTTGTTCATCGAACATGTACAGGATAACAAGTGTAGGTATGAACATAAACATGCTGTCAGGATTCCGGCAGTTGCCCCAATGAAATCATGAGTCTTGAGCCAAACTGGCAAAACTTCAAAAGGATTTATTGGGAGTTAACATTTTATTTTATTTATTTATTTATTTGATTTGCCAATTGTTTACAAGATAATAAGTATAAGTGTATACATAGTTGTGAATACATGAAATGGGTACATATAAGAAAAATAAAAGAATAAGAGAAACAATAGGACAGGGACGGTAGGCACGATGGTGCGCTTATGCACGCCCCCTACAGACCTCTTAGGAAAGGGGTGAGGTCAATAGTAGACAGTCTAAGGTTAAAGTTTTTGGGGTTTGGGGAAGAGACTACAGAGTCGGGTAGAGTATTCCAGACATTGACCACTCTATTGCTGAAGTCGTATTTCCTGCAATCAAGTTTGGTGCGGTTTACTTTGAGTTTGTATCTATTGTGTGCTCTTGTGTTGTTATGGTTGAAGCTGAAGTATTAATTGACAGGTAGGACATTGCAATGTATGATTTTATATACCATGTTTAAGTCAGACCGAAGACGGCGTAATTCAAGGTTTTCTAGTTTTAGAATTTCAAGTCTGGTGGCATAAGGTATTCTACAACGAGTAGAGGAGTGGAGAACTCTTCTTGTGAAATATTTCTGGACTTTCTCAATTGTGCTAATATCAGATACGTAATGAGGGTTCCAGACTGATGAACTGTATTCGAGTATTGGTCTAGCAAATGTTTTGTATGCTCTGGTTAGTAGTGTGATATTACCAGAGAAAAAACATGTCCGGCACTGCCTGGGTGTAGCCGACTCTGAGACACATGAACAAAGGAAGTAAATACAGATAAATGGGGACAGTAAGACAGGAACGGTAGGCACGCTGGTGCGCTTATGCATGCTTCCTTTAAGGACCTCTTAGAAATGGGGTGAGGTCCACGGTAGATAGTTTGAGGTTGAAGCTGCAAGGGGTTGAGTAACAACGGAGTCGGGTAGGGCGTTCCAGGCATTGACCACTCTGTGGCTGAAGTCGTATTTTCTGCAATCGAGTTTGGAGTGGTTTATCTTGAGTTTGTATCGGTCGTTTGCCCATGTGTTATTGTGGTGGAAGCTGAAGAAGTCATTGACAGGCAAGATGTTGTAGCAGACAATTTTGTGTACTATGCTTAAATCGGACTGCAGACGAGGCAGTTCCAGATTGTCCAAGCCCAAAATTTCAAGCCTGGAGGCAGAGGGAATTCTATTGTGAGTGGAGAGGAGTGGAGAACTCTTCTCGAGAAATACCTTTGGACCCGCTCAATTGTGTTAATGTCCAATATACAGTGTTGGGTTCCAGGCAGATGAGCCTCATCACTATGTTAACCAAGGATTGAGATATGCAACTTCTTTTTAAGAGCTGTTAAAGATCAATTGATCAAACATGTCTACTGCTTTAGGAAGTAGAACCACGAGAAGCAGGTGGAGAATCTCCAGCCCTGGAAGGATCATGTATCCATAGATACCTCGTTTTATTTGGGTTCAATTGAAGCATTGTCGTCCCCACCCAAACCCAATGAGCTTTAGATGACACCTCAACAGCATCACTTGGTTGATCGGGGATTGAGTTTTGCAGCTTCCTATTGAGAGCTGTTAACGTTCCAGGGCCCAAAATTTCGAGTTTGGAAAAATCAGATTAATTCCCTTTGACAATCAAAAACATGTCATTTGGGAATCCTTCTTTGATCCAGATTTGATCCAATCCAGTTTGGTTTCTTAATCTGAACCAATCTGATAGGCCAACTAGATTTAGAAAGCTGAACTGCATCATCAAAATTGGGTTCGATTCTGCTTGTTTTTCTGATTGGATAAATCTGTCTTCTTCAAGTGCTAAAGGACTTTTGATCCTCTGAATCATTTTTTTTAAAATTTAGAATAGAATAGAATAGAATAGAATAGAATAGAATAGAATAGAATAGAATAGAATAGAATACAATTCTTTATTGGCCAAGTGTGAATGGACACAGAAGGAATTTGTCTTTGGTGCATAAGCTCTCAGTGTACATAAAAAAAATACATTCATCAAGAATCATAAGATACAACATTTAGTGATAGCCATAGGATACTAAATAAGCAATCAAATCATACTAGGAAACTACTGTATATACTCGAGTATAAGCCTAGTTTTTCAGCCCAATTTTTGTGCTGAAAAAATCCCCCTCGGCTTATACTCGAGTCAGATTCCCCTCTAAAAAAAATGGTGTGGAGTCGCGGCCTCCGGCGGCAGCGACTCCCAACAGCCCCAGCCGGGAAGGGAAAGGCAAAAAGCGCTTTGCCTTTCCCTTCCCGAGGCGGCGGGACTGGGGCCGCGCCGGCGGTAGTGACTCCTGACTCAGGGGGCCTCCGAGGGAGGGGAAGAGAGTGACTCCTGCCTCCCGCTGTCATCATCATCTTCTTCTTTTGGGTTAGTGAATCAATTAAACCTTTCATGATAGTGAGATCGTTTCCCAAATTAATTATTTTTATTTTTGAAATTTACCAGTAGCTGCTGCATTTCCCACCCTCGGCTTATACTCGAGTCAATAAGTTTTCCCAGTTTTTTTGTGTAAAATTAGGTGCCTCGGCTTATATTCGGGTCGACTTATACTCGAGTATATACGGTAAATAAAATTTGATAATTAAATGGATAATTAGAATTTAATTTGACAAGTTAAATTCAATAAGCCTGAACATGAATCCCTACACATTGGTTTTTTTTTAAAAAAAGTCATTTTTCTCAAATGCAGGCATGATTTGAAATCTGTTTTATATTAATACTGGTTTTTCTCTCTCTTTGTATTCCAGGGGCCTTAACAAGCAAGGTTATCAGTGCAGGCGTAAGATCTTTCAGTATATTATATTTATATGTTGATGGTTATCGTAACTGTGCAATAGTTCATGATACTCTGCTGAAAAGCCTAAGAATGAAAGAGTAATTAAATAATCACAACAATCTCTGTATGGAAACAAAGCATGCATTTAAAAAAAAATTAAGTGGTTTTTTTTTTTTTAAGTGTAACAATCCTGGTCATATTTTCAACATTCTCACAGTCCGGTACATTTCCAAATCATTTTCAATCTCTGAGAAAGAAAATAGACACATGAGGTTTTCTGTTTTTCTCAGGATATTCAAGAAGAAAAATTAGTTTCAAGAATAAGAAGCCAGAATCAAGGGAGAAAATATTTTATGATTGAATTGGAACTTCCAGCTTTTTCTATCGGTCAAAATACAAAGTTATGAGGTGCCGTTTTCTGCCCTTAGAAACCTTAAAAACATGGTACCTTCTTTCATATGTGGTGGTTGTATCCCAAAGCAAGGAAATATTGGGTTAAAATTAAAAATTGGCTACAGGAAATTATAGGTCTTCAAACTGAACTCAAACCCGAAATGTTTTTATTAGGAATAATCAGAGCAGAATTTAATTTAAAAAAACCAAATATATTATAGTACATATAGTGACAGTGGCAAGAATTGCCTATGCATAAAATTGGAAATTGGACAGTACCCCTTCTGAAGATATGATAATAAAGAAAGTAGTCGACTGTACAGAGATGGTTAAACTTACATTGGAATTGCATGATAGGGAGGAATCGGAATATTATATGGTCTGGGATAAGTGGTATAGTTGGTTAGACAAAAGAAATAAGAATTAAAAGTATATATGTATGTATGTAGATATAAGTGAAAACGTCGATGTCATAGAGTTGTTAAGAATGTACAACAGACGTGTAATTGTGGAAAAGCATAATAAAAATTATTTAAAAAAAGAAAAGAAACCTGAACCATCTCAAATTTTAGAATAACTCAACCTCTTTTTTCCAGACTGACAATCATAATTTGAATACATGCTGGGAGCTGTGCTCCCCCAAAAATGAAAAGAAAACCCTTGCTTAAAATTAGATTTAACCGACACCCTTAATTAATTCAATATCAGGACTACCTTTAGCTGTAAAGATGAGATCATGTTCTCCTTCCGTCATATCAAAATGAAAATTGTGGGTGGAATTTAGCAGAGCCCCAGTGGTTTCTCCTGAAAGTTGGAGAGGCTGGGAATCCTACAGAAACACAAACACACAAACACACACATATACCAAATTCCTTATTTATTTTTTAGCTGTCCGGGTCTGGTCTCTGAACTTCAGGAGTTTAGATGCAAATTTTATGCAAGGCATAAAATTGGAAAACAAACAAACACCAGAATAACAAAGTTGGATGGGATCTTCGAGAGTCCAACCCTGCTCTAGCAGGAAATCCACTGATATTTCGGACAAATGGTTTCCAAGGAGGATTTGAATCAATATCTCCGAGAAGAAGGGGAAAGGAACTCAGCTAACATGCTGAGCTTGTCGATCAGAAAGGTCGGCAGTTCGGCGGTTCGAATCCCTAGTGCCACATAATGGAGTCAGCTCCCATTACTTGCCCCAGGTTCTGCCAACCTAGCCGTTCAAAAGCATGTAAAAATGCAAGTAGAAAAATAAGGACCACTTTGGTGGGAAGGTAACTGTGTTCTGTGCACCTTCAGCGTTTAGTCATGCCGGCCACATGACTACAGAGACATCTTTGGACAGCGCTGGCTCTTCGGCTTTGTAACGGAGATGAGCACTGCCCCCTAGAGCCAGAAACGACTAGCACATATGTGCGAGGGGAACCTTTACCTGTTGAGTGTTCCCCCCAGGTGGCCCAGGGATTCTGCTGGGTATGTTCAAAAAAGTCAAGATAGTGACCAGGATGGCACCATCAAAAGCTCTGCCTGTTTTTTAGATGGCATCTTGACTTTTGTTGCCCAAAACCAGTGGCCACTCCTGATTGGGACCAAATTGAATTATTTTCTTTGCCCATCTTGCTGTATTTCTGTCCAGTAGTGTGTAAAAGAGTATAATTTGTGTTGTGGTCTTTCTGTGTTACCTGTAAAACTTTTTTTTAGTGAAAAGGATTTCCTTTTTTTCTCCCAGAATGCAATGCTGCGATTCACAAGAAGTGTATTGACAAAGTCATCGCAAAGTGTACGGGATCGGCTATTAACAGTAGAGAAACTATGGTAGGTTTGGGGTTGTGTTATTTTTGTGAGTTGGTAGCTAGAGTTAACCAACACAGAGGCACTCAACGTGGCTATGATAACCTCGATTTGATTTGGTCTGTCTTAGCACGCCAAGTGAAGCCAGTTCAATGAGAATAACCACAAAAGTTATTCTGAAATGGGCAAAATGGACTATTTTGATTAAAGAAAAGAATATTAGAAGTACTTTTGTTTCCACGTGGAGACCGCTTCTGAATTTCGTGCTCGAAATGGAAAAGAATGAAACTCTGATTTTGCGTTTTACTGATTAGATTGATCAGGGATGGGCTCCAAATAATTGAACAACTGGTTCTCTGCCCAGTTGTTGGGTGGGCGTGGCCAAGGGGTGTGGCCTAGTTGGCCTCCTGCGCCACCCTGGGAGTAAAAATGGGCTACGGGGGGCCGTTTTCACCCTCCCTGGGCTCCGGAGGCTTTCCTCGAGCCTCCAGGATGCTGTTTTTGCCCTCCTCAGGCTCCAGAGTTGCTCTGGAGGCTGGAAACCGGCCTGTTTCAGGCCTTCCAGAAACTTCCGGGAGGCCTATTTTTCTCCCTCCCTGAGCCTCCACACAGACCCTGCACTTACCTGAGATCCAAAATGGGCCACGTGGGGACTCCTGGGAGATGCGTGGTGGAGTGGACGGGGCCAGCCAGGGGTGATATTTGCCGGTTCACCAAAATGGCCAAAAAATTAACAGGTTCAGCCAAACTGGTGTGAACCGGTATCAGCCCACCCCTGAAATTGATAGATCTTTATAGAAATGGCTTGCTCATATTATTATGAAAAAAACGTAAAAGGTTTGGTGTTAATGCCATATTTTACTGCAAACGGAGAGAGTTGGAAGTCAATGTTTCTTTTTCTTTTTTCTTATCCTTCCTCCCTTCTCTTCCCCCTCTTCCTGCCCACCGTTTTCCTATTCACTTTTGTGTTTTGTATCTTATAATATTTTATAACTCAATAAAAATGTTAAAATGAGAATAACCACAACAGCAATTTGTTTACCTGGTTGGTCCCCTCGTCCTCGACTTATAACCACAATCGAGCCCAGAAATTGTTGCTAAACAAGGCCTTTGTTAAGTGAATTTTGCCCCCTTTGATGAACTTTCTTGCCACAATCGTTCAGTGAATCCCTGCAGTTGTTAAGTTAGTAACATGTCGTTAAGTGAATTTGGCTTCCCCATTGACGTTGCTTGTCAAATGGTCGCAAAAAGGGATCACATGACCCCCAGGGACACTGCAACCATCATAAATATGAACCAGTTGCCAAGTGCCTGAATTTTGATCACGTGACCATGGAGATGTTGCGACTGTTGTCAGTGTGAAATACAGTCCAAAGCCACTTTTTTCACTGCCGTTGTAACTTCAAATAGTCACTAAATAAGTGGTTTTAACTCAAGGACTATCTATAAACACACAAACCCAACACTAACTAATATTAGCATATTGTGTGAATGCACCTACTGGAACGTTTATGTTTTATTGATGATGTTGTCGTTTCTTTGGTTGTTGTGAGTTTCCCAGAATCATCGAGTTGGCAGCGTGCAAATATAAATTATTATATAGAACATACAACAAGGTAGAATCACAGTTACCAGGGCAAAGCTACGGGGATCTGTTAAACCACATTTTCCCTTCCTTTTTCTTCCAGTTCCACAAAGAAAGGTTTAAGATCGACATGCCCCATCGCTTCAAGGTGTACAATTATAAAAGCCCCACCTTCTGTGACCATTGTGGAACACTGCTCTGGGGCCTGGCACGGCAGGGCTTAAAATGCGACGGTGAGTTGAGATCGCTGGTGCTTTGGTGTGATGACCCAGGACAAGCAGAGGTGGTATTCAGCAGGTTCTGACCAGTTCTGGAGAACTGGTAGCGGAAATTTTGAGTAGTTCAGAGAACCGGCAAATCCCATCTCTGACTGGCCCTGCCCCCATCTATTCTCTGCCTCCTGAGTCCCAGCTGATCAGCTGGGTCTTCTTTGGTTGCCCTACACAGGAGAATGGAGCTGGAAAGCAGGTTAGTGGGGTGGGGAGGGAATGGGATTTTGTAGTATCCTTCCCCTGCCATGCCCACCAAGCCATGCTCACCGGGCCATGCCACACCACACCATGCCCATCAAGCCATGCCCACAGAGTCAGTAGTAAAAAATGTTGAATCCCACCACTAGGGACAAGGCATGAAGGCCACACAGCCAACTTAGAGTTCAAATTCACCGTTAATGCTCCAAATTTTTCCCAAACACCCCCATGTTCTTTGCAAGTCCCAGAGCCAAAAAGCACAAACATAGATCAGTCTCTGGCTGCGAGCAGTCCAGCAAAACAGGGAAATGAATCCATGGAGCAAGGAACAAGCAAGCAGTCTGCAACATCACAGAAAACTCCACAAATTCAGTGTTCGTTCCTGACAAACACCCCTTCCTACAGCGTCTCCTTAAATCTCAGTCCCCAGGTGTGCCTTGTGAAGAGGGGCGGGGCGCTCTCCTCTCGAGTTGTCGGGTCGGCCTGTGCTGTTCCCACCTTCTCTCCACTCTCCATGCTCAGGGATCAGGAGGGAGCAGTCCTTGCTCATCGCCTGAGCTCCGTCGCTCCTCATTTCGACTACTTGGCCTCTCTCAGTCATCCTGTCCCTCTCCCATTCCTCCCTGTTAGCAAACTGTCCCAATCCTGATGGGCCCTGGGCTGCCTCGTCCTGCTCCTCCCCACATTCCTCCGAAGCCAATGAAGCCACCCTCTCAATCTCTGTTAGCCCCAGCTCTGGCTCGTCCTCCCCCAGAGATTCAGGCTTCGACGGGGCACGACAATAAGTGGGGGGATCCACAGCATGACATTTTAGCCACACTATAGATAGTCCTCAATGTATGACCACAATTTCCAAAATTTCTGTTGCTAAGTGAGATGTTGGTTAAGTCAGTTTCGCCCCATTTTACGACCTTTCTTGCCACAGTTATTAAATTACTTTTAAATCGGGGCAGTTGTTCAACGAGTAACACGATTGTTAAGCGATGCCGGATTTTCCATCGATTTTGCTGGTCAGAGGGTCACCAAGCTGGATCACATGACTCCAGGACTCTGCAACCATCATAAGTACATGCCAGTTGCCAAGTGTGCGAATTTTGAACACGTGACCAGGGATGCTGCAACTGTTGTTAAGTGTGAAAAACGGTCACGAGTCCCTTTTTTTTCAATGTTGTTATAATTTTGATCCCTAAACAAACTGTTGTAAGTTTGAGGACTATCTGTAGGAGTATGTTTCCCTCCCCATCTCCTTTTCCCCTCTGTATCCTGCTTGTGGGGGGGTTGGACTAGATGACTTACAAGGTCCCTTCCAACTCTGTTAATCTGTATCTGTATCTCTCATTCCAATGTTTGCTGCTTATGTCCTATCAAGGTAGTGAACCATTTAGCAATAAAATGTTGCGGGAAAAATCGAAGCAACAAAAGCAATCATTTCAGTTTGGGGCAAAAGAACACAACACATGTCTCACAAGCAGTCTCTGCCTTGCAGCCTGCACAATGAACGTCCACCACAAGTGCCAGACCAAAGTGGCAAATCTTTGCGGCGTGAACCAGAAACTCATGGCCGAAGCATTGGCGCTGATTGAGAGCAGGCAACAAGTGAGTAAGCGGGACATCCTTATGGTTGTCTTTGTAAAAAAAGATGGATGGGGGGGAAACGAGTAGAGAATATCTTCATTAAAAGTCACCATGAGTTGTCCGTGGTTGACATGATCCTCCAGACAACAGATTCCTCTAGCAGAGGCAAAAGAACAAACAAGCAAAAAAGTGGTGCTAGGGATTCGAACTGTCGAACGCCTGACCTTTCTGATTGACAAGCTCAGCGTCTTAGCCACTGAGCCACCATGTCCCCAGATTCTATTCTATATTTCTAGATATTTCTATATCCCTACAGGGTGACTTTAGCCCCTGGGGGCGGGCGGGCCTTCCAATGAAGAGGATTCCACGTTGGGATGCGGAGCCCCGCTCTCTTGAGCCGATCATGCAGTGACGTCAGACCGGAAGTCTTCTTTTCACCCTTGTATGTTCTGTGTTGATTCAGGCCCTAAGTCTGCGTGATTCAGAGCAGATTTTACGAGAAGGACCGGTTGAAATTTCCTGTGTGAAAGAGGAACCGCTCAGCCCTTCTGTGCCCCCAACAGGCAGAAAAGGTATTATTTCATTTTATTCATGTTTTCCTACTAGCAGAATTTTTCCTTACCTCTGGGCTATACAGATAGTCCTTAACATATCACCACAATTGAGCCCAACAGTTCTGTCGCTAAGTGAGAAATGAGTTCAGTGAGGTTTGCCCCGCTTTACGACCTTTGTTGCCATGTTGGTTAAGTGGATCACTGCCATTCCTAAGTTAGTAACACGGTTTATCATCATAAATATGAGTCCGTTGCCAAGCGTCTAAATTTTGATCTCATGACCACAGGGATGCTGCCACGATCGTAAGTGTGAAAAATTGGTCATCAGTCACTTTTTTTTCTGTGTTGTAACTTCAAACAGCCACTAAATGAACTGTTGTAAGTTGAGGGCTACCTATATAACTGGTGTTGACTTTAATTAAATCACACATACACATATGCCCAGAAAACCAGCATGACAGACTGAGGAATTCTGGGAGTTGAAGTCCACAACTCTTAAAGTTGCCAGGTTTGGAGATCTCTTCATGTTGTATGATTCTGTGATGACCCGGGGTGTGGCACAAAGGCAACACAGTCAGATAAGCAATAAGAGTCCCTTTATTATCTCCAACTTTGCCCCCAATGTCCAGGTTACCTTCTGGCTGGAGAAAAACTCTCCCAGGAACAATCTTTGACTGCAGAAAATTAAGTCCAAAACATGAGCAACACAAACTGTAACTTAAAGACCAAACAAGCCAAAATGAGGTAATTAGTTTGGCAGGGCAGGAGCAAGAATTTCAGACTTGAAGGCAAAACTCATACAGTTGGGAAGACGCCAGGAACACAGATAAGCCATGACAACACAAGATAAAGTCACGTTTGTTCCCAGCAGCCTGCCGCACCCAGTCTGCCTTTCTTATCAATTGTCTTCCCAGCTGTGGCTAATGAAGGGAATCAGGGCCCTTTCCTCCCCCGTAAGCCATGCAACCCACATTACTCTCTTCTCCGTTCCTCCCTGTGTGCCCTAGGATGAAGAGGGGGGTGGGCCTGGTTCTTCCACTGAATTCCCTCTACCTTGCTCTACCTCTCCCCTGCTCTGCCCAGCCGGACTTTGCCCTTCCCCAGCCTCCTCCACAGCCAACAGAGCCACACTCCCATTCCCTGTCAGCTGTTCGTCTTCCTCCTCAGATTCAGACTCTGACAGGAGCATGACAAATTCTGCCTTAAGGAATGAAGTTGTTTTTTTTAAAAAAAAAATGAATATATTTCAACACAAGTACCCTGGAATTTTTTTATAGAACCACAAGGAATTTCCTGGGAATCCCCAGCAGATGACATCCCGATTTCTGATTCTCTACTGGAACTGAGGAAAGATATTCAAGTAGAATTGCCAAAGTTAACCATCGATGATTTTTACTTGCACAGAATCCTGGGGAAAGGAAGTTTTGGCAAGGTAGGGTGATGGTGAGGAGAACAAAAAAAAAACACCTTGATTTTTAAATTATGCAGGGAGTGTGTAGTCATTTTCATAGTTCTGTCCTCTCCACTCCCTGATCCTCATTTCCTTCCTTTACTCTTGAAATGCTAGTATGAAGGGGCAGCTGGAGAGCTGCTAAGCCACCATGAAAGGACCCCTGAAACAAGAGCCAGGAAGAAGGGTCTCTCATTAGCTCAGAGTTGAGGTGAAGTATGATTTTAAACAAACCATAGTCCTCAACTTACAAACACAATGGAGCCCAACATTTCTGTGGCTAAGAGAGGGAGTTGTTAAGTGAGCTTTGCCACCATTTTACGACTTTTCTGGTTAAAGTTGTTAAGTGAATCACTGCAGTTGTTAAGTGAATCTAGCTTCCCCATTGACTTTGCTTGACAGAATGTCGCTGGTCTGACCTGGCTCCCAAACACGACAAGTACGCTGTTTTTTAACTAAATGTTCCAAAGGAGTGCCCGACTCTCAGCGCTGCACATTCCAAGAAAGAATTCCGATACAGTTCCAGAAAGGATTCAGAAGTTCGGACTATCAGTGGCTGACTGACAGGGAGACCAGTTGTTGTCTGCTATATCTATTTGTCTTCGCCCCCTGCCTTTTATCCCCAGAACTAGGATGGAGCTTAGCTAGCAGCGGTGGTTCTTCTGTCCCGAGGACCGGCCCATAGATTTCCACTACTCTCCTCTCCTCTGCCTCCTGTGCATCTGTGCATCAGGCACTGGACCCAGCTGTTCCTCCTCTTCCTCATCAGCCATCTCTGGACCTGGAGGCTGTTGACTCTCCATTTGGGGATTGATGGACAGCCCAGGCTCCGCCTCTGTCTCTGACAGTTCCATTCCCTCTTCCCCCTCGGAGCTCTCAGATGGCCTTGATGCGGACCCTGACTCCCATGCCTCCTCCCCCTCTTATTCAGCTTCTGGAGGGGCTGGCGGCCGAGAGGCCACAACAGTTTCAAAAGATGATCACATGATCCTGGAACACTGCAATCATCCTAAATATGAGTCTGTTGTCAAGTATCTGAATCCTGATCACGTGACCGGGGGGGGAGTGCTTCAACGGTCTTGTGAAAAATGATCGTAAGTCACTATTCTTAATGCCGTTGTAATTTTGAACGGTCACTAAAATGAACGGTCTGTCAACTAAAAAATACTTCTTTGGTCTTTTTAGTTGCCAGCAGAAAGGAAGTGGGGAAAGTAGGGCATTCCTTAAATGCTTCAGATAATTGCTAGGCAGCCGAAGCTGTTGGTGCACAAGATTATTACCGGAGAGCATGATTGATGACTCTTGGCTATGGATGTGTCCCGTTGGAGAATATACATCCAGGGGGTGGGGGGAAGACCAAGGCCAAGGGTGAAATGAATGATGTGTCTTAGAGTCGGCTGCACCCAGGTAACACTGACGTGGTCACGCCTAATAAATCAATTTTTTTTTACTCTGACTGATGCGGCTAGAGACTTATGATTTGAATGGGGGTGCATTGTTGGAGCCCTGACATGGTCATAAGTGGAGGACTACCTGTACGGTGTCCGTACAGATCCACCACTGATTGCAAACTCATGCAAAACTCTCAGGTCCATATGTGTGAATTATCTTCCGACGTTGATGGCTTTGCTCATCTTACCTGCTCCTTGGTGATATTTTTTATTTATTCTTTTGCTCCAGGTTTTCCTTGTTGAGCTCAAAACCACAAACCAGTTTTTCGCCATGAAAGCCCTGAAGAAGGAGGTGGTTCTGATGGATGATGACGTGGAATGCACCATGGTGGAGAAGCGTGTCCTCTCCCTGGCTTGGGAGCACCCATTTCTCACCCACGTCTTCTGTACTTTCCAAACTAAGGTTAAAAGGATACATTAATCTGTCAATCCCTTTGTCCAAATCAAGTCAGAGAAAGAAGGCTTGCTTCGCAGTTTTGGCATATTCTCTGCTTGCGTAACGTGGCGTTGTTGACTCTTTGTGTCTTCTGTTCAATTGTGTCCAATTCTCGCGGGCTTCTTTGAAGAGGTGAAGAAGCTTCTTGGATGAGAAGCAAAATGTCTTCCAAGAAAAAACAAGAAAGTCCAGTTGCTTCTTGAAAAAAAAAAAAGCACCATTGGGTTTGCCATCGCTTCCTTATTAGGACTCGGATAAGGTGACTGGCCCAAAATTCACAATCTCCCAGTTTTAGCCTTTTGTCTTAACCACTTCACCAAACTGGCCCTCAAAACATGCTTCATTTAAATCAACTTGCTGAATTCATTCGTTTTCTATGTTTCTCGTGTTCACAAAATGGGCCGAGCCCATGCAATATATGCCAAGTGCCAAGAAAATTAACCCATGTTTTACACGAATTGAGCACAGCAAGTTCCCAAATGCAACAATTGTAGGCCATGTAGGCAGAGTTGGGGTTTAATTTTGGCACTAAGAGGGAGCCCACAAGGATAGTCCCTGGCAGAGGTGAGATTCAAAAAAAATTTACTACTGGTTCTGTGGGCATGGCTTGATGGGCGTGGCAAGGAAGGATACTGCAAAATCCCCATTCCCTCCTCACCCCACTAACCTGCTTTACAGCTCCGTTCTCCTGTGCAGGGCAACCAAAGAAGATCCAGCCGATCACCGAACCAGTAGTAACAACGGTTGAATCCCACCCCTGTACTAAAGGAATATTTTCTCACAATTCCCTTCTCTAACTTTATCTGTTCCAGATATGTTGGATGAAAGGTTGCCGTCCCAAATAATCTGGTAACTTTAAGACTATCTCTAGAGCTTTTACCCAAATACTAAAGGTCATTTTTTCATCCCTTGCTAGGAGAACCTCTTCTTTGTAATGGAATACCTCAATGGAGGAGACCTGATGTTCCATATTCAGAACTGCCACAAATTTGAAATGGACCGAGCGAGGTGAGCTGGGCCTGGTTTTGTCAAACTCTTCTATCAATAGAGGATAGTATTTGTAGCTCAGGGTTGAACTGTGGGGTCTTTGGTGCTCTCTGAACTTGGTTGTCTTCTTTCAGACGTTTCATGACCCAGCTAAGTAACATCATCAGTGCTAGTATGGAGGGAGGTTTACTTTCAATTTACATTCTAGTGGCTTTTTCTATAAGTTTTGTTTGGAATGGTTTTGGTGTTTCTTTAGTTGTTTATCGTTGGCTTGTTTGGCAGTTCCTTGATTGGCTTATAGTTTACTTAATTGTTGGTCTGATGTTAATCTTGGAATTAATCAATGCTCATCTGGGTACTGATTGCTAGTAGGGAGGTGTCATGCCCTTGTTGGAGTCTGATTCTGAGGAGGAGATGGCGCAGCTGAAAGGGAGTGGGAGTGTGACTCCGGTGGCTGTGGAGGAAATGGAGGAAGGGCACAGTCCAGCTAGGCATTCAGAGGAAGACCTAGGGTCATCCCCTCTTCATCCTAGGGCATGCGGGGAGGACCGGAGAAGGGAGCAACATGGCTTGCGAGAGAGAAGAAGGCCCTGATCCCTTTCTTTGGTTGCAGCTGGGAGAACAGGATATAAGTGAGGCGTTTGCACACGGCTCCTTGCTGGAAGCAAAGCATGCATTATCTTGGTTGAGCCTTATCTAGGTTTTGGCATTCTCCCAACTGTGGGTGCTGCGTTATCCTTTGAAAGTCTGCAATTTATCATCCTGGCCTGCCGTGTTAATTACTTCAGTGTGGTTTGTGTTCGGTTTTTTTATTTCTAATTATCTTTACTTTGGGTTCGGACTGCATTTCTGCCCTTCGTAGGCTGATTTTTGAAGAGTTTGTTATCCAGCTGAGGATAATTGGACATTGGGGCCAAGTTGGAGGCATTAAAGGGAATTTATTCTACTTTTGTGATTTTGTTATTTTTGTGTCAGTAATTTACGATGTGCTTCCCTGCACGCTGCCGGCTGTGCCTGTAAATCGTCATCAGCATGCTGCGTGCAGAGAAGTAGCCTTTCAAAAAGCCCCTTTTTCCTGCTTTTTTAACTGCAGCTGTGCCTCGCACGGCAGCTGAAGTTGAAAAAATCAGGAAATAAAGGTCAGGTAAGAGCCTGGGTGGGTGGGTGGACAAAAACATCAGAGCTACCGGTTCTACAGAGGTGGACAGAACCGGTAGAAGCCCACCCCTGATTCTAACCATATTTATAATTAGTTTATTTGTAATCCTATTGATTATCTTAGCATACTTATTATTAAGACTATTATTAAGTGTTGTACCTTATGATTCTTGACAAATCTTTTCTTTTATGTATACTGAGAGCATTTGCACCAAGACAAATTCTTTATGTGTCCAATCACACTTGGCCAATAAAGAATTCTATTCTATTCTATTATAGTTATAAACAACATTCACATTTAACTTAAACATAACAATGCTATTTCTTCATCTAATTTCTACCTCTTATCTCTAACCATTGATAAAACCTATTCCATGTTAAGTAATACTTTGTATTTCCTTTACTTTTTATTTTCAGTGTCAACCTATCCATCTCTGCAAAATCCAATATTTTCCTAATTATATTTCCAGAACCTCATTTCTGTTCTGTGCTTCCATAATGAGACTGAGTAGACAAATAGAAATGATAACAAACCTTGTTATTAATAATTGTACTGAAATATTATTGTTCCTATCATCTGAGCCAGCCAGGAGGATTCTATTTTGGTTGTTGTTGTGATAAAAGAAATATCTCCACATTTTATAGGTTCTATGCTGCTGAAATTATTTGTGGGCTGCAGTTCCTTCATTCCAAAGGCATCATATACAGGTAGAGATTATTATTTTTTAATCCTGAATTTTTGCTACTTCCAAATAAAAGATTAGAGTGCTAGAGAACTGCAAACTGCGAGGGTTCTGTGCAGGTTCTTGTTGTTAATGCCCAAATTCTGATCAGGTGATCATGGGGGGGGGAGGGATGCTGCAACCGTTGTAAGTGTGAAAAAACGGTCATAAGACACTTTTTCCAGCAACGTTGCAACTTCCAATTTCATGACAGGAATGGTGGTAAATTGAGGATTACCTGTATTCTGTATGTTTGCTGCTTTGAGTTATGGCGGTACCTTGGTACTCAACTGCTTTGAACTCATCCAATGTGGTACTCAGTGAAATTTGACGCAAAAAAATTGTCTAGGTACTCATTGTTTGTTTAGTACTCAACACACACAAGCTACAACTTTTCAGTGTTCTCTGCCTTGTGAATCCCTACATGATTCCTAATGGGGAAAATTTGTTTGATATTCATCGTTTTTGGTACTCATTGTACCTCCCAGAACAGTGGTGGGATTCAAAAAATTTTACTACCGGTTCTGTGGGCATGGCTTGGTGGGCGTGGCAGGGGAAGGTTACTGCAAAATCCTCATTCCCTCCCCACTCCACTAACCTGCTTTCCAGCTCCGTTCTCCTGTGCAGGGCAACCGAAGGAGACCCAGCCAATCAGCTGGGACTCAATGGGAGGCAGAGAAGAGATGGGGGCGGGGCCAGTCAGAGGTGGTATTTGCCGGATCTCCGAACTACTCAAAATTTCCGCTACTGGTTCTCCAGAACTGGTCAGAACCTGCTGAATACCACCTCTGTCCTGGAAGCATTAATAATACTCATTAATAATGAGTACTGAGGTACCACTTCTACTTACAAAAAATAATAATATAGGTGGGATATAAATTAAATAAATAAATAGATTTTAGGAGCAGGGAGTGGCAGCTGCAATGGATTGGAGGACTGGAGAAGACTACCTTAAGTTACCCCCCAAAAAAGAGACTCTTGAATGAACAGGTGTAACCCTTCATCCTCTTTCAGAGACCTCAAGCTTGATAATGTTCTCCTTGACAAAGAAGGCCACATCAAGATTGCTGACTTTGGAATGTGCAAAGAGAACATGCTAGGGGACGCTAAAACGAGCACCTTCTGTGGGACTCCCGATTATATTGCCCCCGAGGTAGGTGGGCCTTAGCTCGTCCAAATTTTTTTAAAAAAAAAGCATATAAGGAATGGTTGCTGGAATTATTTATTTATTTGATTGATTGATTGATTTGATTTGATTTGTCAATCGCTTACAAGATACCAGATATAAGTATAAACATGAGTAAGAATACAGGAAATAGGTACGAATACATGGGGACAATAGGACAGGGACGGGAGGCACGATGGTGCACTTATGCACACCCCTTACAGACATTTTAGGAATAGGGTGAGGTCAATAGTGGATAGTTTAACAACAGAGTCAGGTAGTGCATTCCAAGCATTGACCACTCTGTTGTTGAAGTCGTACTTTCTGCAATCGAGTTTGGAGCAGTTTACCTTGAGTTTGTATCTGTTGTGTGCTCTTGCATTGTTGCGGTTGAAGCTGAAGTAGTCATTGACTTGTAGGAATTGGGTATGTCTAGTGTAGTGAAGAGAAGGCCCAGGGTGACACGATAGCAAAGTTCCAATATTTGAGGGGCTGTCACACAGAAGAGGGAGTCAACCTATTTTCCAAAGCATCTAATAAAGCCAAGACGAGAAACAATAGATGGGAACTAATCAAGGAGAGAAGCAACCTAGAACTCAGGAGAAACTTCCTGACAGTTAGAACAATGAATCAGTGGAATGACATGTTTGCAGAAGTTGTGGGAGCTCCATCACTGGAAGTTTTTAAGAAGAGATTGGACAACAATTTGTCCAGAATGGTATAGGGCCTCCTGCTCAAGCAGTGGGTTGGATTAGAAGACCTCTAAGGTCCCTCCCAACTCTAATATTTTTTGGTTCTGTTAAATTTATTCTGGTTGTTAAGCCTGGATTCCCCAACGGGTGTTAAGGAAAACAAACTAAACAGAATGTGCAGCGAAGTCAGATAGGAAGACAGGTAAATGTGTGAGATAAGTTTTCTAGTTAACACGCAGTAAAAATACAGATACGCTTGTGCTATCAAAAATATTGTTTATTCCATTTAAGAATTATAGCATAGTCAAATAATCAGTCCATTAGTCATATATCTATTTTCAGTCAAGTCTTGTCGAGGATACTCTAATTGCAAAGTCCGTGTCGAATAGCCAGTGTCAGTACACATATAATAAATCTGTCCAAAACTTATCTTCTCTCCGTTGAGAAATATCTTCAAAGTAATCCAACACTTCTTCTCCTCCCCGATCCAGCAAGAACGCAGTCTTCAATAAGCCAGCCAGTAAGAGCCAGAGAGTGCCTTGCTGCTTATATAGTACTTTTACAGCTGCACCCTTAATTACATTCCTTTAGCTTAAAGTCACATACACTTTATCTGACAAATCATGATTCATCATTTTATTATCTTTACCCAAACCAGTTAGGGTAAACAATGTTATCCCTAACATTGGTCATAAATCAGAATCAGAGTTTCAGAAAGAATCAGGAAGAAAAAGGAGTTTGAGAACCCTATAACATTTGGGCAATTTGCTTTGAGTGATGTTACTGAAATCTCAGAAGATGTTTATTACCGTCTTGCTGGATTCAGAATTCTTTCATGAGATCCTGCGAAATTTCATTGTTCCCACCTGAAAAACTTGCTGTCAGGATTCCAGCAATCACTCTAATTAAATCATGATCTCAACCGAGCCTGGGGGTGTTTCGTGAGCATAAGCTTCCATATTTGCAATCAAATTGATTTGGGGTGTGTTGTACAGGTCACCTTCAAGAAGGGAGGGGAGCCGAATGTCAACTCATAAAACATTTTGTATACACGTTTTATAGTTGACAACAGAAAGAAAGGGCAACAGTGTGGAATCGAAAGTACATTCCATTCATATTTTTTTCAAAGACTGATTAGCTGGCTGAAGTTTCTGCCGTGAAAAAATCTAATTGGAGAGCATGATTGATGACTCTTGGCTATGGACGTCTTTTGTTGGATCATACACCCAGAGGGGTAAAGCAAGATCAAGGGTGACAGTGAATTATGTATCTCAGAGTTGGCTACATCCAGGTTAGTGCCAGACGTAGAATGTTGAATTCAAATAAATCCTCTTTAGTTTGGGGTGTGTGGCTCAAGGCTCATGATTTAATTGAAGTAACTGCCAGAATCCTGACACATGATTCTCAAGCCAAACTTCAAAAAACTTCAAAGGATTAATTAGAGGTGACATACTGGGCACTGCCATTGCCTTGTATGAAGCCAACTCTGGCATACGTCATTTACAGTCCCCTGTGACCCTGTTTCCCCCCTCCCCCCCCCCCGGGTGTGTCATAAATCACATTCTCCAATTGAACACGTTCATGGGCTGGGTGTCATCATTCCTGTTCTCCAATTAAATATATTCGCGGGCAAAAACTCTGGTATTTTAGTTACAATCTTTTAAAGATAAGAGTTGGAATGTACTTTTGCTTTCAACTGCTCTTCCAGATTTCCTTCCTCCAACCCCACTTCTCTACGGCAACTACTAAAACAGGCATAGGAATATTTTATGAGTTGACACTTGCAAGATTTGGACAAATTGGAGAAGGGGAATGGTTGGAGTCCTGTAGACGTTCTATCATCACCATTGTTAAGTCCAGCATTGCAGTCTATACAGGTAGTCCTCAACTTATGACAATTAAAATGTCCGTTGCTAAGCACGACTATGGTTAAATGAATTTGCTCCATTTTAGGACCTGTCTGACCACCGTTGTTAAGTGAAAACACAGCAGTTCGCTTCAAATCCATTTCACAGCCATGTCACTAATTTAAGAACTGCAGGGCTTATTCACTTAACAACAGTGGCAACCAAGGTCCTAAAAAGGGGACAAAATTAACTGAGCAGCTGTCTTGCTTAGCAGCAGTAGAAATGTTGAGCCCAATTGTGGCCGTATGTCAAGGACTACCTTTATTAACGTGTGCACCGTCATTCTTTAAGCTTCCTTTTTCTTTATTTCTTTTTTTCCCCAACTCTCCCTTCTTTTCCCATGGCAGATTCTTCTTGGGCAGAAATACAACATGGCCGTTGATTGGTGGTCCTTCGGGGTCCTTCTGTACGAGATGCTGATTGGCCAGTCTCCCTTCCATGGCCAGGATGAAGAAATGCTCTTCCAGTCCATCCGCATGGACAGCCCATTCTACCCCCGCTGGCTTGACAAGATTGCAAGGGACCTCTTAGTAAAGGTGAGGTTAAGAGATTCCATTATACCAGAATAGGGGTGTCTTGCCCCTGTTGGAGTCTGACTCCAAGGGAGAGATAGAATAGCTGACAGGGAGTGGGAGTGTGGCTCCAGTGGTTGTGGAGGAAACTGGGGAAGGGCACAGGCCAGATGGGCATTCAGAGGAAGACCCAGGCCTATCCCCTCCTCATCCTAGGGCACACAGAGAGGAACGGATAAGGGAGAAACGTGAGTGGTGTGGTCTATGGGGGAGGAAGGGGCCCTGATCCCCTTCATGGGCTGCAGCTGGGAGGACTGGTTAAAACGACAAACTGCAGCAATTGACCTAACAACTAGGGCAAGAAAGGTTATAAAATGGGGCAAAACTCACTTAACTAATGCCCCGCTTCACAATGGAAATTTTGGGCTCGATTGTGGTCATAAGTTGTCAGTCGAGAACTACCTATACTTCCAGTTTTTGGGGAAATGACGCCCTGTTTTAACCACTGTGTGTTAAGGTAATGAAGATGTAATAGCTCACCAGCTGCTGTCAGGCTGTAAGCCAAGATGATGAACTGAGGATGAGTCAGCTGGGTACTGCCACTTTAAGAAGCTGTCTATATAAGGGAGGCCATGTGAGGGCGTCTCTCTCTCCTCATGTTCTGTCTCCTTTGTAGTTCTCCATGTAGAGTTGAAGATTGATTGATTGCCTGGTATTTGCCTAACACACGTATGCATGTATATAGTAGTCTTGTACATTGCTCAAAAAAATAAAGGGAACACAAAAATAAGACATCTTAGATCTGAATGAATGAAATATTCTTATTAAATACTTTGTTCATTACATAGTTGAATGTGCTGACAACAAAATCACACAAAAATTATCAATGGAGATCAAATTTAGCAACCCATGGAGGTCTGGATTCGGAGTTACACTCAAAATTAAAGTGGAAAAAACACTACACGCTGATCCAACTTTGATGTAATGTCCTTAAAACAAATCAAAATGAGGCTCAGTAGTGTGTGTGGCCTCCACGTGCCTGTATAACCTCCCTACAACACCTGGGGATGCTCCTGATGAGGTGGCGGATGGTCTCCTGAGGGATCTCCTCCCACACCTGGACTAAAGCATCCCCCAACTCCTGGACAGTCTGTGGTGCAACGTGGCATTGGTGGATGGAGCGAGACATGATGTCCCAGATGTGCTCAATTGGATTCAGGTCTGGGGAACGGGCGGGCCAGTCCATAGCATCAATGCCTTCATCTTGCAGGAACTGCTGACGCACTCCAGCCACATGAGGTCTAGCATTGTCTTGCATTAGGAGGAACCCAGGGCCAACCACACCAGCATATGGTCTCACAAGGGGTCTGAGGATCTCATCTCGGTACCTAATGGCAGTCAGGCTACCTCTGCTGAGCACATGGAGGGCTGTGCAGCCCCCTAAAGAAATGCCACCCCACACCATTACTGACCCACTGCCAAACTGGTCATGCTGGAGGATGTTGCAGGCAGCAGAACCCTGTCACGTCTGTCATGTGCTCAGTGTGAACCTGCTTTCGTCTGTGAAGAGCACAGGACGCCAGTGGCAAATTTGCCAATCTTGGTGTTCTCTGGCAAATGCCAAACATCCTGCACGGTGTTGGGCTGTAAGCACAACCCCCACCTGTGGACGTCGGGCCCTAATAGAACCCTCATGGAGTCTGTTTCTGACCATTGGAGCAGCCACATGCACATTTGTGGCCCGCTGGAGGTCATTTTGCAGGGCTCTGGCAGTCCCTCCTTGCACAAAGGTGGAGGTAGCGGTCCTGATGCTAGGTTGTTGCCCTCTTACGGCCTCCTCCACGTCTCCTGATGTACTGGCCTGTCTCCTGGTAGCGCCTCCATGCTCTGGACACTACACTGACAGACACAGCAAACCTTCTTGCCACAGCTCGCATTGATGTGCCATCCTGGATGACCTGCACTACCTGAGCCACTTGTGTGGGTTGAAGACTCCGTCTCATGCTACCACTAGAGTGAAAGCACCACCAGCATTCAAAAGTGACCAAACCATCAGCCAGAAAGCATAGGAACTGAGAAGTGCTCTGTGGTCACCACCTGCAGAACCACTCCTTTACTGGGGATGTCTTGCTAACTGCCTATGCTTTCCACCTGTTGTCTATTCCATTTGCACAACAGCATGTGAAATTGATTGTCAATCAGTGTTGCTACCTAAGTGGACAGTTTGATTTCACAGAAGTGTGATTGACTTGGAGTTACATTGTGTTGTTTAAGTGTTCCCTTTATTTATTTTTTTGAGCAGTGTATATAAACCAGTGTTAAAAGACAAAGCCTCTGTGTGCTATGTTTGGCTCCTGGGTTGTGTCACAATAGTAGTCAAGCTGTAAACACTCTGACACCGTGGTATTGGGTTAACAACCACTGTTTTGTTTTTTTTAAAAAAGGTCATACAATGAGATTGAGCGCCTGACTGGCTTATTTTTACAACGATCACCCCTTACGGCCATGATAAGGAGGTTCCATTATGCTCATAAGTCGAGGACCACCTAAATTATTTAACCTTAAGATCTAAAGAGACCATTTTCTCGCTTTTTAAAGCCACGTGCTAGTGAAGGGAACGCGTGTTTCCCTGACAATTTTATCCATTTTTCTTAACGCTTCGACCTTTCGATTTCTAGCTTTTCGTTAGAGAGCCAGAGAGGCGGCTGGGAGCCAGAGGGAATATTCGACAGCATGCCTTCTTTCAGGAAATCACATGGGAAGCTTTGGAAAGAAAAGAGATTGACCCGCCTTTCAGGCCCGTCGTGGTGAGGATTGTTTCTTTCACTCTCTTCCGTGCTCTGAATAACTTCTCCAAGCCACAGTTACATACATTTAATTTATTCGTTTGTTTATTCCATTCAGAATAGCCCCTCTCCCAATTCCGGGTAGTTCTCGACTTACGACCATTCGTTTAGTAAGCATTCAAAGCAGGGGTGGGCTACGAAAACTTTAGCAATGGGTTTTCTGCCCGGTTGCTGGGTGGGCGTGGCCATGGTGGGCGTGGCCTAGTCAGCCTCCTGCATCATGGCGGGGGGGAGGTGTTTTTGTCCTCCCCGGGCTCCGGAGGCTTTCCTTGAGCCTCCAGGAGCGCAAAAACGGCCTTCCTGGGCTCCAGAGGCTCACTGGGAGCTGGAAACGGACCCATTTCCAGTCTTCCTGAACTTCCGGGAGGCCCGTTTTTCGCCCTCACTGAGCCTCCCCATGCACCCTGAACTTACCTGCATCCAAAATGGCCTGCATGGGGGCTCCTGGAAGGGGAGGGGCAGGGTGGGGCAGGGTGGGGCAGGGCCAACCAGGAGTGGGCTTGGGGGTTCTCTGAACTGCACAGAATCTTAGCTAGGGTGGGATGAACCGGAGTGTAACACAAACGTAACAAAATCCAAAGCTTAAATAAATGTCTTTTCATGCTTCCAGCTTGGCCCCACTGTTCAATAATACTCAGCTGGAAATAAAACGTACTCAAAAATATAGTCTTCAAAAGAAAGCGATACAGTCCGAATTTAATGAGCAGATAGAGGTGAAATAAAAAAAAAACAAAGAAACTACAATGAAGGAATTTCCACAACGGACCAGGATAAGGAATTACCAACTGCAAGAAGATAACAAGGCACAGGCTGTTGGAAGGTTGCCAACCAAAGTAACTTCAGCCCAAAATAAAACACGCTTTGTTTCTGGCAACGCTGTGTTTTAATCGTCTCTCTTATATACTATTCTCCCCAGCTGCAACCAATTAGGGGGATCATGGCCGCTTCCTCTCTCGTAAGCCAAGTTGTTGCCTTCTCCATTCCTCCCTGCGTGTCTTAGGATGAAGAGGGATGGGCCTGGTTCTTCCTCTGACTGCCCAGCCGGCCTCTGCCCTTCCCCAGCCTCCTCCACGACCTCTGGAGCCACACCTCTACTTCCTGTCGGCTGTTCCTCCTCTCCCTCAGAGTCCGACTCTACCAAGGGCATGACATAGGGGCTCTCCAGAACCCCTGTGAACCCCCAGCAGCCCACCCCTGATTCAAAGTTACAACAGTGGTGAAAAAAGTACAAGTCATTCTCGGCTTATGACACAGTAACCATGTTTCATGTGGACTAATTAAAATGCTAAACAAGCCATCATTGTGCAGAAGCCACCTTGCTAGAGAGCGTGAAATACAACAGAAACAAGAAATCCAACACTTCTGTGGTTAAATAAGACATTTGTTGAGTATTGCCCCATTTTCTGACTTTTCTTCCCATCGCCGTTAAGTGGATCACCGCAGTCAATAAGTTAGTAATGTGGTTGTTAAGTGAATCCGGCATCCCTGTTGACTTGGCTTGTCGGAAGGTTGCAAAAGGGAAGGGACATGACATTGGGACACGGCAACAGTCATAAGTATGAGTCAGTTGCCAAGCATCTGAATTTTGATCTGGTGGGAGGCTGTAATGGTCGTAAGTGTGAAAAACAGTCATGTCCCTTTTTTCACCACCGTTGTAACTTTGAACCATCATTAAACAAAATGTAAGTTGAGGTCTGCCTGTAAGTTATGTCAATTTATGAAATATGGTCCTACAGCAGATACTCAATAGCACAGAAGTAGTCCTCGAACTTACAACAGTTCCTTTAGTGACTGTTCAAAGTTATGTCACTGAAAAAAGGTGCATTTTTCAAAAGGCAACTGGACTTTCTTTGTTTTTCCTTGAAGACGTTTCGCTTCTCACCCGAGAAGCTTCTCCAGTTCTGAACTGAACTGAAGAAGCTTCTTGGATGAGAAGTGAAACGTCTTCAAAGAAAACAAGAAAGTCTAGTTGCCTTTAGAAATAGCACTTTTGTCATGCCCTTGTTGGAATCTGATTCTGAGGGGGAAGTTGAACAGCTGACAGGGAGTGGGAGTGTGGCTCCGGTGGCTGTGGAAGAAACTGGGGAAGGGCACAATCTGGCTGGGCCTTCAGAGGAAGACCCAAGGCCACCCTCTCTTCATCCTAGGGCCTTCAGGGAGGAACAGAGAAGGGAGCAAAGTGGGTTACGGGGGAGAAAAGGGCCTTGATTCCCTTCATTAGCTGCAGCTAGGAGAACAGGATTTAAAAAGGGCATTTGCGCACAAGTCCTTGCTGGAAGCAAAGCGTGTATTATCTTTGTTTGTCACGTCTTATCTGAGTTCTGGCATCCTCCCAACTGTGTTTGTTTCGTTATCTTTTGAAGTCTGTAATTCCTTATCCTGCCCTGTCTGGTTAATTGCTGCAGCCTGGTTTGTATTGGTTTTTATTTATAATCTATATGTACTTTGGGTTCGGACTGAATTTCTTCCCTTTAAAAACTGATCTTGAGAGATAACTGGACATTGGAGGCAAAGTTGGAGGTATTAAAGGGACTTTACCTACTTTTGTGACTTCGTTGCTTTTGTGGCACGCCCTGGGTCATCACAACATTTGGGACCTTGCTAATCCAGGTGTTTAGTATCCAGGGGCAAAAAAAGTTAAGTTTTGGGTGCCAGTTCATACAGTTGACTTAATCACATCAAATCAGGTCCTAGCAGATGCCTTCACACAATACGCTAAGTTTAGTTAACTTTAACCTTGGTAAAGTTTCCTCTAACTGCCAACCCAGCTCACCTATGTGTTTTTTTAATGCAAACCCACAACACAAGAATTTAATAACCAGGGTAAGTATCTGCAAATGCAGGCAGTGTGTGGGTGTGTGAGAGTGACTTACACGTGCATGCCACTTGATCGTGCAAATGCAGTGATGGTGAACATGTTGGGCTTGGCGTGTCAAAAATTTGGAAAATGCCAAATTTGTCTCTCTTGGCATGTCACCCCTTTGCAAAACAGAAAAACAATTCTCTGCTTATTTATTTTTTAATAACTAAAAATATAAAAATAAAATAAATATTTTCTTTAAAACTTTAACATTTAAATTTATTTATTTTTTTAAAATGCAGCCCAATCATATTTGTGACTCCTGCCACCTGGCACTTACTTTCAGGAAATTCTCTCTTTTGGGAGAGAGTTTCAAATAATGTTATTACATTTTGCAAAACTTACACACAAAAAGAAAAAACACAAACCGACAGTCAAGAGAAACCATAAAGAGTAAAAAAAGAATAGGGATAGAAGCGTGAAGAAGTATAAACTAAAAGAAAGAAAAATGTAAATATATATACCATGAATGTCTTGCAAGTTCTTCTTCCAGGATATTAAAAAATGCTTACTTTTGATTCTTAGTTTAACACTATAATATCCATTACAGTCTATTTCCCCCCAAAGAAAGGAGGAAATAATTTTTTAAAATCTTTTTTCCACTTTTTAAATTCTAACAATCATCCAATTCATAAGTGAAAATTTGATTTTTTCTCCCCATCTCTTGCAAAAAATCCATAGAATTTCCAATTATAGATCAATGTCTTCAGTTATTTGTTTCTCCCACGAGGCCCATTAAAACTTGGCTAATGTGCCAGTTCTATCATCTTTATTAACCATTCCTCTACTCTGGGTATCACAGAATCTTTCCCACACTGCATGTATAAAAGCTGTGCTGCTCTTATCATATATAACAGGGGTCTCCAAACTTGGCAACTTTAAGACTTGTAGACTTAAATTCCCACAATTCCCCAGGCAACCATGCTGGCTGAGGAATTCTAGGAGTTGAAGTCCCCAAGTCTTAAATTTTCCAAGTTTGGAGACCCCTGATATATAACCATAAAACAATGGGTGTGCTCTTTCTGTTGACGGACCCCTTCAGCCTATTCAAAGCAGCCCTTTTGTTGTTGAAATAGCTTCCTTGTTGAAATGGCTTTGGAAAATGTTCTTCCTTGGCCTTTGTGGCCTTCAAAAACTGCACAAAAGCATACGCTGTACTTGTGTGACTTTCAGAGGCTGTGAGAGTGTCCAGACCCTCCAGGAGGTCTGGAGCGTGCAAGAATCGGCACACCCGATTCTTGCACAGCGCCCACAACTCACACGAGAATGGGGCATGCTTTCCAGAATAGTTGTTGGGTGTTGGAAAACACTCATCCGAAACATCGTGGGTTGTCACCTTGACACACGTGCCATAGGTTTGCCATCACTGTGCTGGTATTTGAGTCCACCTTCAGTTGTTTTACCTTTGGTCTTGAAAATGCTATCCACCCCAAGAAGAAGCATTGACCAAGGAAAGTTAAATTCTATTCTATTCTAGTCTTCTCTATATTCTATTCTACTCTATTCTATTCTCTATTCTTCTCTATGTTCTATCCTATCCTATTTATTCTATTCTATTCTCTATTCTTTTCTCTATTCTATTCTATGTTCTGTTCTATCTTTACTTCTCTATATTCTATTATATTTATTCTATTCTATTCTCTTTTCTTCTCTATATTCTATTCTATTCTATATTCTATTCTATACTCTATACTCTATTCTCTATATTCTATTCTATTTATTCTATTCTCTATTCTTCTTTATATTCTACTCTATTCTTTATTTATTCTCTATATTCTACTCTACTCTATTCTATTCTCTATTCTTCTCTATATTCTATTCTATTGTACTCTACTCTACTCTACTCTTTGCGTTCCTAGAGCGGCTGCATCTTCTTTCTAAAGTCCTCATGGTGGAAAACTTTCTACATTTCTCCTCAGAAAGTATGTGACAAGGGCACATTTTTCCAATCCTGTCTTTTTTAAAAAGAAATGCTCAGGGGCTTCATCTTCAGATAAATCTCCCTCTTTACTGGCTGCTGGACAAGAGTTCCTCCTTTGTTTGGGTCTAACACCACTTTCTCTCTCTCTCTCTCTCTCTCCTTGAAAGAAATCGCCAGGAGACTGCAGCAATTTCGACAAGGAATTTATCAACGAAAAACCCCGGCTCTCCATCGGCGACCGGACCCTCATCAACAGTATGGACCAAAACATGTTTAGGACTTTTTCGTTTACCAACCCCATCATGGAGAAATTGCTATCCTGAGGAACGACCTATGAAAGATGCATCCTGGTGAAGTCAATCCAGACAGCGGGAAGTGACTGCCAGGGCTGGTTTTTGGCCTCTACCTGTCCCCTACTCTGAACTTGCAGGTTGTGAGAGTGCAACAATTGGGTGAGATATCCTCGCGCATCCTGTATTCTCATTCACCGGGCAACCAGGAGGACGGAAGGACCTGCTTTGAGAAGAAGACTTGCAGTGACTCCTTGTTCTGACTCAGCTCCCCAAACATGGCAAACCCTTTGAAGTGAATTCAAAAAATTGCCTTTATTAGGAATGTCAGTAGCCCCAGTAAAAAGTTCTTGCAGGCTAACAAGTCCAGCCAGCAGGGAGATGAATAGTTGTCTGTCTCATTTATTCATCTCCTTCCCCTGCCTTTTATCCCCAGAGTTAAGAGCGGGGCTTCGCTAGCAGCGGTGGCTCTTTTGTCCCGAGGACCGGCCCATAGATTTTCAGTGCTCTCCTCTCCTCTGCCTTCTGTGCATCCGCACGTCAGTCATTGGACCCAGCTGTTTCTCCTCTTCTTCATCAGCCACCTCCAGATCTGGGGCTGTTGACTCTCCATCTGAGGGCTGATGGACAGCCTAGGCTCCACCCCCTCCCTCCCTCCCTCCCTCCCCCCCCCCCCCCCTCTGCCAGCTCCATTCCCTCTTCCTCTTCGGAGCTCTCAGGTTGCCTTGATCCAAACCCTGACTCCCACACCTCCTCTCCTCTCCTCTGATTCAGCTGCTGGAGGGGCCAGCGGCCAACAGGCCACAACACTTCCAAGACTGGAATTACAACTGCACAAAACATTTCTCAAGACAACCACTGCAGAGTTTTTGACGTGCTGCAACCTATTACCCTTCTTGGTTATGATATGTTTCTGGTCCCATAATCCCAAGATCAGGCACTGCAAAGTCTTTGGCTGACGCTTCTCCAAGAGTTTGCAAACCAAGGATGCTGCAGATATACTCCTCGACTTACAACCATTCGTTTAGTGACCGAAGTTACAAAAAAAAGTGACTTATGGCCGGTTTTCACACTTACAACCATTGCAGCATCCCCAGGATCAAAATTCCGGTGCCTGACAACTGGCATGTGCTTATGACGGTTGCAGTGTCCAAGAGTCACGTGATTTCCCCCTTTTGCGACCTTCTGACGAGTGAAGTCAACGGGGAAGCCAGATTGACTTAACAACCACGTTACTAATTTAACCTTAACCCTTAATGGCTGTGGCAAAAAAAAAGGTCGTAAAATGGAGCAAATCTCACTTAACCGTTGTCTTGCTTGCAATGGAAATTTTGGGCTCCATTGTCGTCGTACATTGAGGACTAACTATATATCAAGTTTCTTCCCTTTCCTCCAACTGGAATACAGTGTTCCTCCTGTCAGCATTCCAGCAAACCTCCATTCCAATCAGTAACTCCGAGACAACCGTATCTCAAAAGTACCTTTATTAGAATAGCACCTGGCACATCGGTGGAATCCCAATTCTAAAAGTTTTTTCGGGCTTTCCACAATTTCCCAAACTACAAATCCATCCCCCCCTTGGCGGTCATCACATCACATGGACCAATCACGATCTGTCCAAAAGTAAGATCCTTATTTCATCCTGCGCCGTACTCAACGACCTTGGACTAACAAAAGAATTTTATTTTGTCTACTTAGAGCTACTTCATTGAAATCACCCCACTTCCACTCTCCCAGGCTATGTGGCAGCGGGGAATATGGCTTCCAAAGCTGACAGGCATCCCCCCTTGAGAAATTCACCTCCTAAAAGAGACAATAAGCAATAAAACAAAACACAGCCACAACTTTTGAGATATGTTTGTCTCGGAGTTGCTGATTGCAATGGAGGTTTGCTGGAATGCTGACATTATCCCAAATCTCCTTCCTCCCACTCTCCTAGGCTATGTGGCAGCTGGAATATGGCTTCCAAAGCTGACAAGTCATAAGTCGAGGACTACCGATAATCTGTAATTTCTTCTTCTGCATGAGACTATTCAAAAGGATGACACTCACAAAATATGATCCTACAACAGACATTCAATAGCGTGCAGGTAGTCCTCGAATTTACAACAGTTCATTTAGTGACCGTTTTGAAGTTACGTACTGAAAAAACGTGATTTATGCCCACTTTTCACACTTACATCCATTGCAGCATCCCCGTGGTCACAGGATCAAAGTTCAGACGCTTGCCAACTGGGCTCATACTTATGACGGTTGCAGCATCTGGGCTCATGTGATCCCGCTTTGCGACCATCGGGCAAACAAAGTCAGGGGGGAAGCCAGATTCACTGAACAACCATGTGACTCACTTAACAACCCATGGCAAGAAAGGTGGTAAAATGGGACAACACTCACTTAACAGCTGTCTTGCTTAGCAACAGAAATTTGGGGCTCAGTTGTGGTTGTAAGTCAAGGACCACCTGAAAATGTCTGGTGGGTAACATCATATATTTTATTTTACTAAAATCCGAAGGAAGGAAGGAAGGAAGGAAGGAAGAGCTGTGGTGGCACAGTGGTTAGAGTGCAGTACTGCAGGCTACTTCTGCTGACTGCCAACTGTCTGCAGTTCGGCATTTTGAGTCTCACCGACTCAAGGTTAACTCGGCCTTCCATCCTTACAAGGTGGGTAAAATGAGGACCTAGATTGTTGGGGGCAAGAGGCTGACTCTGTAAACTGCTTAGAGAGGGCTGTAAAGCACTGTGAAGCTGTATACAAGTCTAAGCGCTATTGCTATTGCTATCTATCATCTATCTGTGCAGTGGTTAGAATGCAGTATTGCAGGCTAATTCCGCCGATTGCCAGCAGTTTAATCCTGACCAGTTCAAGTTTGACTCATTCTTCTATCCTTCCGAGGTCAATAAAATGAGGGCCCAGATTGTTGGGGACAATAAGCTGACTCTGTAAACTGCTTAGAGAGGGCTGTGAAACACTGTGAAGCAGTATATAAGTATGTTTCTTGCTAAGTGGGAAGG